CTCCAAACTTATTCTTTTAAATTCGAGTCGCTTGCTAATTTTTCAGTATATTCAACGTATCGCCTTCATCAATTAATCCACCTGTTTCATTAGACCAAATGTTCTCACACTGAGAATACCAGTCGTCCGTCACGTGACCAGCTGGTCAAATACTCCTAATCCATTAGGATTAGGACCTTTACACACCATATATACAGGCTATGTACACATGCGCTGTGGCCGCGGTGTAGATATGTGTAGGTCGACGGATACCGATTACATAATGCATAAGGTTTTGCAATGGAAAACCACCTTTAGAAAATGGTTATGCAAACATGTACATGTAGGCCAAACATATATGCATAGTCGGTGGAGAGAATCGTTAGAACAACCGGTGACTGAAACACGGTGACTGAAACAACTGATCGGAATGGTGCCCAGTCGCCAATGAGACAGACAGTCATCGTTTTCACTCTAATTTCGTTTCACAACCTGCCTCTCTCTATCCTAAGCTCTTAATGTTAATCATTTGTTCAAAATATACATTATATACATGGGAGGGGGCGGTGGGGTGGATGGGGTTGGGGGATGGATGAGGGTGGGTTGTGGTGGTGTGGTGGTGTGGTGGTGTGGTGGTGTGGTAGTAGTGGTGGTGTGGTGGTGTGGTGGTGTGGTAGTAGTGGTGGTGTGGTGGTGTGGTGGTGTGGTGGTGTGGTAGTAGTGGTGGTGTGGTGGTGTGGTAGTAGTGGTGGTGTGGTAGTAGTGGTGGTGTGGTGGTGTGGTAGTAGTGGTGGTGTGGTGGTGTGGTAGTAGTGGTGGTGTGGTGGTGTGGTAGTAGTGGTGGTGTGGTAGTAGTGGTGGTGTGGTAGTAGTGGTGGTGTGGTGGTGTGGTAGTAGTGGTGGTGTGGTGGTGTGGTAGTAGTGGTGGTGTGGTAGTAGTGGTGGTGTGGTAGTAGTGGTGATGTGGTAGTAGTGGTGGTGTGGTAGTAGTGGTGGTGTGGTAGTAGTGGTGGTGTGGTGGTGTGGTGGTGTGGTGGTGTGGTGGTGTGGTAGTAGTGGTGGTGTGGTGGTGTGGTGGTGTGGTGGTGTGGTAGTAGTGGTGGTGTGGTGGTGTGGTGGTGTGGTAGTAGTGGTGGTGTGGTGGTGTGGTGGTGTGGTGGTGTGGTGGTGTGGTAGTAGTGGTGGTGTGCGGGTGATGTGGGATGATGTGAAGGTGTGAATGAAGTGGGGGTGCGGGGGGTGGGGTGTGGGGGGGTGGGGGGGTGGTGTGGTTGGGTGGGGGTGTGGTTGTAGTGTGGTATGAGTGTGGTGGGGTTGTGGGTGTGTAGTGGTGGGAGTGTGGTGGTGGTGTGGGTGTGGTGGGGTGTGGTGTGGTTGGGTGGGTGTGTGGGGGTGATGTGGTGGTGTGGTGTGAGTGCGGTGGTGGAGTGGTGTGAGTGTGGTGGTGGTGTGTGGGAGTGTGGTGGTGGTGGTGTGGGTTTGGTGGTGGTGTGGTGTGAGTGTGGTGTGGAGTGTGGGGGTGGTGTGGCGGGGGGTGTGGGGTGGTGTGGGTGTGGTGTGGTGTGAGTGTGGTGGTGGTGTGGGGGTGGTTTTGGTGTGGTGTGAGTGTGGGGGTCTGGGGGTGGTGTGGTGTGAGTGTGGTGGTGCGGTGGTGGTGTGGTGGGGGTTGGGGGGTGGGTGGTGGTGTGGTGTGAGTGTGGTGGTGTCGGGGTGTGGTGGTGGGTTGGTGTGAGTGTGGGGGTCTGGGGGTGGGGTTGTGTGAGTGTGGTGGTGTGGGGATGGGGTGGTGGTGTGTTGTGAGTGTGGTGGTGGTGTGAGTGTGGGGGTGGTGTGGTGTGGTGTGAGTGTGAGTGTATTGTGGAGTGTGGTGGTGGTGTGGGGGTGGGGTGGTGTGGGGTTGGTGTGGTGTGAGTGTGGGGGTGGGTGGTCTGGGGGTTGTGTGGGGGTGGGGTGGTGTGGGGTTGGTGTGGTGTGGGTGTGGTGGTGGTGTGGTGTGGTGTGAGTGTGGGGGTGGTGTGGTGTGGTGTGGTGTGGTGTGAGTTTTGGGGTGGTGTGGTGTGGTGTGAGTGTGAGTGTGGGGATCTGGAGCTGGTGTGGTGTGAGTGTGGGGTCGGTGTGGTGTGAGTTTGGGGGTGGTGTGGTGTGGTGTGAGTGTTGTGTTGAGTGTGGGGGTCTTGGGGTGGTGTGATGTGAGTGTGGGGATCTGGGGTTGTTGTGGTGTGAGTGTGGGGTCGGTGTGGTGTGAGTGTGGGGGTGGTGTGGTGTGGTGTGAGTGTGGTGTGGAGTGTGGGGGTCTTGGGGTGGTGTGGTGTGGTGTGAGTGTGGGGGTCTGGGGTTGTTGTGGTGTGAGTGTGGGGTCGGTGTGGTGTGGTGTGGTGTGAGTGTGGGGTAGGTGTGGTGTGGTGTGAGTGTGAGTGTTGTGTGGAGTGTGGGGGTGGTGTGGTGTGAGTGTGGTGGTGGTGTGGTGGTGGTGTGGTGGTGATGTGGTGGTGGTGGGAATGTGGTGGTGGTGTGATGGTGGTGTGGTGGGAATGTGGTGGTGGTGTGGGTGGTGTGGTGGTGGTATGGGTAGGGGGGTTGGTGTGGTGGTGGTGTGGTGGTGTACCCCTGTTGGTGTGTTGGTATCCCCCTGTTCAAAAGACGACGAATAGCTTCACTCGGCTTTGTAAAGCTGCTCAAGAGAATGACTCGTTCAAACAGGCATATCGATGTGAATAGAGTCGACACAATACAACTATTTGAACACATATAAAAGGTGATGTCCTCGTTTTACCACCACCTCCCTCACTATATCGCTGTGGTGGTATAGAGAATCAAGCATTTGTTTAAATACACAGACAGACACACACGTTACTTGAAATAAAATCACGAAATATTGCGATGATTATTTATTACTGAAAATAGCTGTATGTGAGCTTATACTTAAAAAGTGAAAACAAGCATTTTGACTTACGAGAATAAGCATACGTTAATTAATCATTGCGATATGTTTTTTTTGGAAACAGTCAGACCGAGAAAGATATATACATTATAGATGACAATGCTAATTCATTTCTAAAGTATAGAGTCAAGTGAAGTATTACATAGTTATGGTATATACAATATAATATATTTGTCAGTTTATAGATCAGCATTGAGTTGGGTTTTTTTGTCTCAGCCGAAGTGTCTCAGCGTTGTAACCTGACATGAAGACAGGTGATGATGTTGGGTACAGAATACAAGGATGTCAACTTCTTTTTTATGAGGACCGCCGTGGGAATTGCTGTAATATTGCGCCGTAAAATGATACTCACTCACACATTAGTATGAGGAACACAACGTTTCGGAGTATATACTTTTTCCTTATGTGTGTCTCTTCTAAATGCCTTTCAAAGTCTAGGTAATGATGTGTGTGCTATGTTTCCTAAGCCAGACAGAGGTACTTATATCGACATAGTTTTCGCGGTTACGATTCGACCTACTTATCCCTTTTCCAAATACTGGTGAGAAACAATTGTATTTTTACGTGACCTCTTAACCTCAGACGGGTATTTGGTGTTGTCACGGGTGGGTGGCTGCCCACAATAGCTGTCGTTTGCTGAGCCGGAGAATACATGTACTTGTGGCCTACCGACCAGGTGCCGTTAAACAGAGCGATCTTAGCTCTCAGGTGGTCGTCACTCCTATACCTTAACACGGACCTACGACAGTCGTAGCGCTAAGGTTGTTTTATACAGCGGCACCCAGGCCACACTCATATAGGTTAATGCTAATGTTTTCAATCCCTCTGCCGCATTCGTTACTAAAGCGTATAATAGACGTAAGTAGTCTCTTAGGTGGGTGAGTGAGTTGGGTTTAACGCCGCTTTTAACATCATTCCAGTTATATCACGGCGTGTCAGCTTAATGTGGGAGGAAAGACCGAAGTGATGTAGGTCTCGGGCGTTTACCACTTCGGTGAAACCCACGAGCACGGGTATGGTGCTGACAAACCTAGAAACATAATCGGGGCGAACCGGGCACTCAGCACAGCTAATCGCCACCCGTGCCCCCTTAGTCTCTATAGCCTTGGTATTATTGTAGATATACTGACGCACTTTGTTATCCGCATCATTGTACAGTAATGCTATAACTACCACTCTTTATGTATTCTGTGTGGTGCAATTGGATTCTCTGTATATGTTTCCCATAAGCCACAGGGCTGGATGTTATATTTTATCTGTTGTTTAGTGGTGTTGGCTTGTACACGTCACACAAAATAGAATATTGTCTTCTTTCTTCTTTGCGTGGGTGGTGGTGAGGGCACGGGGACCGTTTATTTGTTTTCAATGCCCCTCGTAACTAGAAATCAAATTGATTATCACTGAGGAACATGAGTTTACATGTAATGAGAATGATGCTTCAATGTTCGCATGTCTGTGAGTTACAAACGAAACTGCTTTCATCCAGTGAGGAAAATGGAAATGAAACTATAAATAATATATGAAAACTCTGACCCGTTTGCCGATGTGAACGATGTGCTACTCATGTGTTGTGTCCCTTAGATATCAAGATACCAGCCAACGATGTTGTCAACGACCACTACCCCATAAACGTTCCACTTGTAGATGCCCAACAAACGTCTCAAACCGATCATGTTATTATGCAATCTAAGTCGATCGTGCCCCGAGGGTAGGAAAACAGAACGAACTCTGAAACGAGTAGGAGGAGGGGAGTAGGTGGCGCTCTCGCAACACCCACGTCTGATTCAGCTATATGATTCACCAACACACAGTATTGGATTGTGTAAGATTAACCTTTGCCTACTCTAACACCTCGTCTATGTGTGTCGTATTCTGGTCGAAACCGCCATTCTGTTAACCGCGCATTGCACAAAAGACGGACCTCGTCTCATCTCAAATATTGACTTAATCTAACGTGAGATCGCCACACATGCGTGACTTCACGGACAGAAGGTTTATTCACACAGCTCACACAAAGTGCAATAGTGAACATATAGCTATTTATATTTTCTATACATATATACATGTGGGAAAGTCATACCTCGTTGTAAGAGTTGAACGGCTATCCGATGGTCTGTTATGCGTATCCCTGTACTGGGTTTGGCCGATAGGCTGCATCGTGAGGCTTGTGTGTAATCCCCATGGCTGTAGGTGGTTGAGTCAGTGTAGCGTGGTCCTGGCAGCACAGAACGGGTGACTTGTCAATAGAGGAACGAGTCCAAATCGTTGTATAATTAATCGTGTGACCTCAGGTGAATTTCATATCTTGCCACACGAAGTCCCACTCACCATGTTTATCTACACTTTGACCTAGACTGTCACGTGACGTCGGTCGATTCATCAGTTGAAGACTAGGAATGTTATTGTCATGGTGATGAGAGCGAGGCTATTCTTAGGTAGTACAGCCAGGAGAGTCTAGTCGCTGCAGCGTCTCGTCGCAGTTCTCGCATCTCACCGTTCTCGCTTCTCGCCTCCTAAAGTTTATCTTAACATCTAACTCAATTATCACTGAGTTTATTTCTCCCCTTGGCAAGGCTGGATTGATAAAAAAGTATAGTTGTTTTCAGAATGATTACAGTTAAAGTCGATTTTTAGTTGACTGAGTGTAGATTTCTGAGTGTTGACTAGTTTATTGATTATTATACGACAGTATAAATTGTTTGATAGGCATTACTTAGAAGTTGACGGATGACAGGGAAGACACAATTTTATGGATAACAACTTCTTTAATACTGTAAAAATAGACGTTTCGGTATAGATCCTTACACCGTTGTCAAGGAAGACTGAATGAAGGAGGGACTTATCACTTATCCTGTGTAATTGGCTTCATGTCCTATAGGCTTCCACCTAGGTGTTCTCTGTCGGTATCCTCCCAAAACGTAGACCTGCCAAGACGCAGACCCGTTAAAACAACACTCGTTATGGCTGGTTGCATCAGTATTTAGTACCCCGTACCCTAAAGTAAAATGGTATCACCCATGTAACAAGAAAGCTGGGTAGAGTTCACAATTTTTTATTCAAATGTTATTTCATTGTCATTTATGATTATCAGTCATTTTCACTTGTTTATTATCAGTGAACCAACTGCATCCAGGTTCTGAAGGGGTGTCTTTTCACGGCAATGAAGCTGTTCCTTCTCTCTGTAGACAACCTTCCTGGGTGGCGGTGCTGCTCCAAATTGAATCTGCGCTTGTTTCGCTCTCTCCGAAATGTCTACCTTCTGGATCAGTTCGATAAATCTGAAGATGTTTGGATGCTTGTGCTGGAGGGACTTGCCGATTCTGGAGTGGAAACCTTCTAGGTTGTTGTTTGTACGGGGCCCTTGTGTCGCATGGTATATCCACAGTCGAGGTGGGAACCGGGCATCGTCATCCACCCATGTCGTCCTGTACTTAGCATACGTGTAGCTGTCTAGGAGAACTTGTGGGGCACCTTTCTGGGACAAGACATACTCAACTTTCGTAAGTCCGGCCACAGCTTAATTGGACGAGGTTGAGGCTGTTGTTGTTGTTGCATTAGGTGTTTAAGAGGTCGCCTTCTGCCTAGGCAATTTCGGCTGACCTGTCCCTCTTTGGGACTCCTGTGTGTGAGAAGGGTTCACATATCTATTGTGAGTTCGGTGTTCACATAATTTCTGTTTTTGCATTGATATGATTTCTATTTTCTTATATTGATATGATTTCATTTTTATCCTTGGCTGCTCTGTTTATATACGTTCGAGCAGCTGTCCATCTCTCAGAAATAGAGTTAGTTTGGCCTTCGCTATTGCATCTCTTGGCTTTAGGAGATCTATGACAGATAGCGGATCTAACTGCAATTCTTGTTTTAACCTAGCCCGGGCCGGGGCATGGTCTTGACATTCTAGTAACAGGTGGTCAATGGTTTCAGCCTGATTGCAAGATGAACAAACCTTGTCATAGTGCTTTTTGTGACCAAGTCTGAGGCGTGAGATAGCAGTTTCAATTTTCCTTTCATTTGAGTATGAGTTTGGCTTTTGTTGGACCTTGGGTTGAATTTTGTATAGCCATCTGCCGATCTTACTTGCGTCCCATTGGGTTTGCCATCTTTTTGCTATGGAGGCTTTGATTTTGCTTTTTATCTCTAGTTTACTAAAGGGAATAGGCTGTATATCCGCTTTGTCTAGAGCTAGCTTCGCCAGTGAGTCTGCTTTTTCATTTCCATGAATATCTATGTGAGAGGGGATCCAACACAGCTCCACCTGTTGCCCTTGGTCCGATAGTTTTGTATATTCGTATAGAATATTGTTGACTGTGTTTGGCCTGGAGTTTGAGTTTCTTCCACTGATGGCCTGAAGTGCACTTAGCGAGTCTGATAGGACGACTGCCTTTGCTTCCGGGAGTTCCGGTATGAGTTTGAGTGCATGATGAATTGCCTCCAATTCAGCCGTGAATACTGACTGACCATCGGGCAAGCGAACTGAATGTGCTTGGGGTTTGGAGCTGTGGATATGGATCCCGTAACCAGCACTGTTGTTGATAGGATTCTTGGATCCATCAGTGTATATATGGGCCCAGCTGTCCCAGGTAGTTTGAATTTTAGTGATAGCTACTGAACGTAGTAGGGTTGGGTTTTCTCTTTTAGTGACTTCTGATGTTAAAGCAGTGTCAACTTTGGGAGTTTGTAAAGTCCAGGGAGGGTGTAACCCTTTGTAGTGACTTTCTGGAGGCTGAATGTCATCGCAATTGTGACTTCGAATGAGTTCACGTACTAATATCCCAGATGGCTTTAGTGAGGGATTTTTTCGAGCTAGGGCCTCATCTCGAGCGTTTTTGTCTTGCCATATCTTTTTAACCAAAGGGTTTGATGTTCGTCCCCAGAACGATAATATTGCCTGCTCTCGTCTTAGTTTCAATGGGAGTTCTCCCGTTTCTACTTGTAGTGCTTCTAGTGAGGTGCCTGTCGCTGCGCCTGTGGCCAGTATTAGGGCTTTGTATTGTATTCTGTCTAGTCGCCTCAAGACAGTATTTGATGCTGAGTGAAAAGCCTCACAACCATAGTCAATTTTTGATCTGATAAGAGCTTTGTAGAGGTCCAGCTGAGTGTCCCTCGATGTGCCCCAAGATGTGCCTGAAATTGCCCGTAATACGTTCAGGTCTTTTTGACATCTGTTTTCCACATATTCGATATGCTTGCGCCAAGTGAGGTGTTGATCAAGGATAACTCCAAGAAATATTGCAGATTTTTCGAATTTGATAGGTTTGCCTTTTATGGAGACACGGGGTATCATAGCATCTTTCCCCCGGCGTTTGAATAGAACTCCAACAGTTTTTTCACTTGAAAGGGTGAATCCCCATTTATTGCACCATTGATCTACTCCGTCCAGGGCTGACTGGAGTTTTTTTCTGATTTGTGAGATATCTCTGTGCTTTACCCATATTGCTCCGTCATCAGCGAACTTAGAAGTTTGGGTAGGAGAGTTGACATGGTCAAAAAGATCATTGATCATGATATTAAACAGGGTTGGGCTTATAATGCTGCCTTGTGGCGTGCCATTGTCCAGTGCCATAGGATCCGATCGATTGTTCCCTATTTTAACTGAAAGCGACCTGTCTTGCAGGAAGCTGTCTATGAAGTTTGCCATGTTCCCTTCAACTCCATTTTGTGATAGTTTTGAGAGGAGTCCGTCATGCCATACCATGTCGAAGGCTTTGCTGAAGTCCAGAAATACTGCGGCTAGGTATTGTCTGTTTAATTGGGCTTTTTTTATTTCATTTTCCAGTCTTAGAATATGATCTAGACACGAGTGTCCCTTCCTGAAGCCACTTTGGTCAGGTTTTATGTGGTTGCCAGTTTCAAGATGATGCATGAGCCTTTTTGTAACCATGGCTTCCATGGCTTTGCACATGTTTGAGGTGAGTGAGATCGGTCGATAAGAGTTTGGTAGGGCTTCGTCTTTCCCTTGCTTTAGCAGCGGGATAACCGCAGCATGTTTCCATGCTTTTGGGACTTCTCCTTTGGACCATATCGTGTTATACAACTCAGTGAGTAAGCCTTTGGTTTGATCAGGTAGGTTTTTCAATATCTCGTAGCTGGTTGTGTCAAGACCAGGTGCTGTGCCTTTTCTATGTTGTATCGCATCATCAAACTCTGTCACAGTAAATGGTATATTGTATACCAGATGCTTGCTTTGCGGCCGTTTTGAGATCTTAGGCATAAGCATTTTTGCCTGTTTGAATTCTTCGCTGCAATTTGTGTTGCTGCTGACAGATGAGAAGTGCTCAGCTAGAATGTTGGCCTTTTCTTTGACTGTATGGGCGTTGGCTAACTTGGGAATTTTTGTGGGTTTACGCTTACCCCTGATTGCGTGTATTTTGCTCCAGACTGTTTTAGCATTTGTTTTCTCATTAAGGGATTTGCAGAAGGTCTGCCATGACTCTTTTTTAGAATCGTCTATGAGTTGTCTTACTTTCGTCCTGGCTGCTCGGACTTGGGCAAAGGCTGATTTATCCCTTTTTGACCTATTTAGGGCTTTCTTTCTCACTCTCCTAGCTTTTGCTATTTCCCTGTTCCACCATGGTACCGGCGTTTTGCCAGTTTTGTGGTCTTTTTTTTGAATTGATTTTTCAGCTGCGGCAATAATTGCTGAGGTGAGATTTTGGCAAAAAAGATCAGGATCATCCGAGGCAATTTCTGAGGACTTGAATGATACACATTCCTTCCTGAATTTAGGCCAGTCAGCCTTTGCATAGTCCCATGTGGGCTGAGGATTGGGCTGTTCCTCTAATTGTGGTGGGCTACCTATGTAGGTGAGTATAGGAAGGTGATCGCTTCCCCAAGTGTCGTCATGGACTTGCCATTGGCAATGTGAGGCGAGGTTTTTGGTGGCAATTGTGAGATCAATTGAACTCCACGTGTTGTGGACTTGGTCATAACGCGTGTGACTGCCGTTGTTCAGAGTTATGAGATTGTTGTCCTCAACCCATTTCTCTACCATTTTGCCATATTTGCATGAATCATTCCTGTCTTCCCAAAGAGGGCTGTGGGCATTAAAGTCACCAAGGATTATCCCATTTTTGCCTACTATTTGAGCTAGTCTTGTTAGCTCTTCCATGTTCGTTTCATGGGTAACCCTGTGATATATGTTAGCTATGCGTAATTCGTTGCCATTTGCCAGTTTTAGGTAGATTACTTGGGTTTCAAGGTTCCCTACATTTGCTTCAATTTTTTTGGAGGTACAGCTGTCGTGGACAAGGGTGATTAGTCCTCCTCCCTTATTGCCTGGCATAAGTCTTTTTCTGTCTTTTCTATATTGGGTATACCCAGGTAGTGTGAATTTGGCTTTTTCACTGAGTTTAGTCTCCTGTATTAGAATGACATGAGGCTTGATCACCTTTTTTTTGACGAGTGCAGTCAGTTCA